TTTAACCAAGTCGGCCATGATGGTTGGAAGGCGGGGTCATCGGACAAATTTTTTAAACTAGATATCCTAATAATGATTATTGCCAAGTATGGTTAAATTTGTCTTAGTAGTTTCAGAGAAGAAGATTTTTGTAAAAGATTACAAAAATTTACAAAAAATTGTTAAAAATTGACTATTAAGGGCAATAACTCCTAACGGGGTCGACTGACAATTTTGGTCATGACAACTTATTTGTAGATCTTACTTTGCTTAACATTATTGCTGTTTACAGTTTATCTCTATCTATAATAATATTCAAGATAATAACCAATAAAATGCTTCGCTGGGGTGCAGCTTGATACGACCGCAGAGGTCGAACCCTGAACAGTTGGGGCAAGTATGGACACAACATTCAAGCTTGATACAGCTCTGAATTTGGATTGTTATTAAATATTTGACACAGCATAGGTTTCTGACACAGAAAGAATGTGGTCTAAGAACTTGAATTTTTTTTAATTTACCTGTTATGGTCCAATGTCCAAAATCAAAATACATGGTTAGATTCAGCATATCAAAGAACCCCATATATTCAATTTTTGTTGAAATCAAACAAAGTTTAATTTTGGACCCCAACTTGGACAAACTTGAAAACTGGGCCCATAATCAAAAATCTAAACACATGTTTAGATTCAGCATATCAAAGAACCCCAAGAATTCAATTTTTGGTAAAATCAAACTAAGTTTAATTTTGGACCCTTTGGACCTTAATGTAGACCAATCTAAAAAACGGGACTTAAAATTAAAAATCTAAATACACGGTTAGATTTGGAATATCAAAGAACCCCAATAATTCAATTTTTGATGAAATCAAACAAAGTTTAATTTTGGACCCTTTTGACCTCAATATGAACCAATTTGATAGCGGGGCCCACAAATAAAAAATCTAAATTCATGGTTAGATTCAGCATATCAAAGAACCCCATATATTCAATTTTTGTTGAAATCAAAAAAAGTTTAATTTTGGACCCCAACTTGGACCAACTTGAAAACTGGGCCCATAATCAAAAATCTAAACACATGTTTAGATTCAGCATATCAAAGAACCCTAAGAATTCAATTTTTGTTAAAATCAAACTAAGTTTAATTTTGGACCCTTTGGACCTCAATGAAGACCAATTTAAAAAACGGGACCCAAATTAAAAATCTAAAAACACGGTTAGATTTGGCATAGTAAAGAACCCCAATAATTCAATATCTGATGAAATCAAACAAAGTTTAATTTTGGACCCTTTTGACCTCAATATGAACCAATTTGATAGCGGGGCCAATAAATAAAAAATCTAAATACATGGTTAGATTCAGCATATCAATGAACCTCATATATTCAATTTTTGTTGAAATCAAACAAAGTTTAATTTTGGACCCCAATTTGGACCAACTTGAAAACTGGGTCCATAATCAAAAATCTAAATACATGTTTAGATTAAGCATATCAAAGAACCCCAAGAATTCAATTTTTGCTAAAATCAAACTAAGTTCAATTTTGGACCCTTTGGACCTTAATGTAGACCAATTTAAAAAACAGGACCCAAAATTAAAAATCTAAATACACAGTTAGATTTGGAATATCAAAGAACCCCAATAATACAATTTCAGATGAAATCAAACAAAGTTTAATTTTGGACCCTTTTGACCTCAATATGAACCAATTTGATAACGGGGTCCACAAATAAAAAATCTAAATACATGGTTAGATTCAGCATATCAAAGAACCCCATATATTCAATTTTTGTTAAAATCAAACAAACTTTAATTTTGGACCCCAACTTGGACAAACTTGAAAACTGGGCCCATAATCAAAAATCTAAACACATGTTTAGATTCAGCATATCAAAGAACCCCATATATTCAATTTTTGTTGAAATCAAACAAAGTTTAATTTTGGACCCCAATTTGGACCAACTTGGAAACTGGGCCAAAAATCAAAAATCTAAATACATGTTTAGATTCAGCATATCAAAGAACCTCATATATTAAATTTTTGCTAAAATCAAACAAAGTTTAATTGTGGACCCTTTGGACCTTCATATGGATATTTTTGTAAAAAAAAAAGATGCAACATTTGCAGATATTTTTACTGGTCTTCCTTTATAAATATGCATTTCTTTAAACATAATTTAAAAGCAGTGTAAGGGAAGTAACCAAAACGTTGTATTTGGATTACCTCCCTTACACTGTTTTAAATTATCTTTATTGTTCATTAACCATTACTTTATACATAATTTAAAAGCAGTGTAAGGGAGATAATTTCAATGATGTATTTGATTTATCTCCCTTACACTGCTTTAAGTTATGTTTTGTACTAAAGTATTTGTCCATTAACTAGGACAACCTTGTTTTTCCCCCTTTTTTGCCCCTAATTCCTAAACGGTTTGAGCCATAACCCCCCAAAGCAAATCCTAACCATCCCTTTGTGGTATGGAAACTTGTAGTATAATTTCAGAGAGATCCATACACCGTTCCACAGTTATTGTCTGGAAACTAGAAAATGCTTATTTTTGGCCCCTTTTTGGCCCCTAATTCCTTAACTGTTGGTACCATAACCCCCAAAATCAATCCCAACCTTCCTTTTGTGGTATTTAACCTTATGGTCAAATTTCAAAAAGATCCATTCACTTAAACTAAAGTTAGAGTGCGAAAACCAATGTGTCTTCGGACGACGACGACGACGCCAACGTCATACCAATATACGACCACAAAATCTTTTTGCGGTCGTATAAAAACTGCAAAATTTCCATAAAATTACCAATTCAGGGGCAGCAACCCAACAACAGGTTGTCAGATTTGTCTGAAAATTTCTGGGCAGATAGATCTTGACTTGATAATCAGTTTTACCCTACGTCAGATTTACTCTAAATGCTTTGGTTTCAGAGATATAAGCCAAAATCTACATTTTACCCCTATGTTCTATTTTTAGCCATGGTGGCCATCTTGGTTGGTTGGCGGGACACATTTTTTAAACTAGATACCCTAATGATGATTGTGGCCAAGTTTGGTTAAATTTGGCCCAGTGGTTTCAGAGGAGAAGATTTTTGTAAAAAGCTAACGACGACGGAGGACGACGACGACAACGACGACGACGGACGCCAAGTGATGAGAAAAGCTCACTTGGCCCTTCGGGCCAGGTGAGCTAATAATTAAGTCTGTAAGAAATTATCATTAGCTTCTAAAGCACATCTGCATGTTACCACTGCTTTTTGCAACTGTTTAAATTTCTAAGACTTACAAAAAATCAACTAATTTTGGAAAATGTTCTGGTACTTTTTAAAAATAATTTTTAATACACTAAATTCAAAATGCAAAGAACTCAGCTTTGGTAGGTTTTTCTGATATATAACCAATTACAAAGTACACCAGTGTAGAAGTAATATGACAATAAAAATCATAATAGTTTGCATGTATTCTCAATGCATTTGAAATGTTTCAGTTTATTTACCATAAGCAACGAAAAACTTGTACATATTCAAATTTACATCTTAAGTGTAAACATTTTTTTTGTAGTACAAAAAAAAAATTATAACTTGTTCTCAAATATATATATATATATGTAAATATTTGGTATCTAAATAAACAGATAATAAAAATCTAAACTGACCTGGTATAAAACTGTAGTGTACTCTGCGTAAAACAACGAAAATTTGAAAACTGCAGAGCTCTGCACAAAGTTTGTCGAAAAGATTACCCTATAATAAGTCAATCACACACATACATTTATATACTAGACTGACAAAACTTTTAATAAGATTAAAAATCATTGACCAGAACATAACCTCAACATCTCTGATATTATAAACTGACTTATAATCTCAGGTGTATTGTTCCAATTAAAAAAAGTAATTTATCCGTTAATTTAATGGCTTCAGAATAAAGTGGTGCATTCACTAATGATTTTACATACAGCAATTTTGAAAATCATTTATATTCATGTCAAATTTCATGAAAATCTATCAAAACATTTAAAAATCAATTAATTATTTTTTAATTCAATCATTTATTATCCAAATTAAATATAGGTTCAAATGCCCTGTTTAATAGGACAATATATTTCTACACATGTAGAACTGAATGGTTTGACAGACTTCCAAACTTATATTTGTGATGATCAAACCTTTTGACACGTTCTGGCTAATATTCATATTGACATAGACTATCAAAATCAAATGATCATCTAATATAAAGATTTAAAATTGTATTGAACTGATATTTAAAATAAATTAGCATTTTACTCTGAACTTCTCACATGTCTTTTTCTACAGCATGCATAAATCTTTTTTCTTCTTCAAAAACATGACAAAAATTTGACAGATGATCTCTCTTTATTCAGGCAAAGAGATCAGGACATATAATAGTTGAAAAAAGCTACACATTTCTAAACACGAGTACAATCAATATTTGAAATCTATCAATTATGTATGACTTAATAAAAATATCTGATTGTCTACTTAATAAATAACAAATTGACAACAAAATTCAAGAAGAATTCTGGCTATAAATTATGATTCTATAGACATGTACATCTGCTGTATCACTTTAGCCATTATGCATGCTTTTTTTCTATGCATCCTTGCATTCTTCTGTGTATTCATCTTCCATATAATTTGCTATACAGGTTTAAACTTTGATGCTTTAGTTCATTTAAATGTTTAATTTTAAGAGTTAACTCCCCTTCAGACAAGTACATTTTGTAGGTAAACAAATTCAAACTTAAAAGGTAAAGGATTTGGTAATTTTCCTTGAAAGTATGATTTCAATCCTTTTTAAAAACTTAATTTTTTCAATTTCAGTTAAATACTTTAAAAGATTTCTGAGGTTTGTGGAATTGACTAAATGGTAATTACAAAGAAACTCTAAACAATACATTGTGCTATATGGGGAATTACCTCTTGAATATGCAACTAATATACATGTATAGGCAAAATGACAATTTTACACATTTACAAACATGTGACCTCCAAACCTACCTTATCACTCAGAGCATTGTACTTGATTCCAAGTTCATCACGCTCTGCTCGACTCGCAGCAAGGAGATCTTCTACTCGGTTCAATTCTGCTGCTAATATACGGTTTTCTTCCTGCAACTGGCCTGTGTTTGGAGTTGACATTCTTTTAGATGGTATGTCTGTATCATCAGGTGAGAGGTTCTTGGTTATAATCTCCCTTATACGGGCTGGTATCTTGGATGGGTTGCTGTCCTCACCTCTTATTGTGTAGTCTTCACCTTCTTTTAGTACAGAATCTTCAAGCCTCTGAAATTCATAACAATTACCGGTATTTGAATATTATTAATAGAAGAAAATAGAAATATTATAATGTGGATTCTGCAAGAATTTTTAATGGATGATTGGAATGACTATGTGATGTTCTTTTAATTTAAAAGCATAGTGCAACAATTGATTCACATAGAACAAGGAGAAAATCTATCATTTAAAGGATGGTGGGGTAAAAATTAATGCATGGTAGACCTAGCAAGCATAAACCACTTTATGAAAAAATTGCATAAGACAAACTGGTCGATATACATACTTATGTCATTTGGTCTCTGGTGGAGAGTTGTCTAATTGGCAATTATACCACATCTTCTTATTCTTATATTATAGCATGATCATATTCAATATCACCTAATACATATGGATCTATATTTTAAATTTTCTGATCTTTTTTGCTATACTTACCATCATTAACCTCAACACTTTAAAGCAATAATTATGTTTGTGTGATCTTTACCTTGTTTGATAAGTTAATTCATTTCTAATGTCTTTAATACAAAGTCAAGATTTAACTGATTATTTTATTTTCAAATGTTTTTGCTCTTTTTGTATTTTGTTCTTTTTTAACTGCCTAAGATATCGATGTAAAGCTTGTTTATCAATGGAAATAGAAGATGTAAATACAAATTTAAATAACTTTATTTCTAAATATTTTTTGCTCCTTTGTACTTTTTTTTCTTTTTAATTGGCTAGGATGTAAAGCCTGTTTATTAATGGAAATAGAAGATGTTAATACAAATTTAATGCATTATACATTAGAAATAATTCTATTAAATGTGCTTTGATTTTTAAAAGCAGCCGAAATGTTATGATTCTCTATCAATAGGTTTAGAAATGTTGCTTCACAAAAGATCAACATAAATCAATAATAGAAGATATAGTGATCATCACATAGTCAGCTAATTCAAGAGTTAACCCTTTCCTCAATGGAATTTTATTTTTTTGCATACTTGATTTGCATAGGATTTTTTAATAAAATGCTGAAAATATGCTTTAAAGTATTAATGCATTGCGAAAATCAAATATTTCATCAATTAAATTTAAGTCAGATATTCTTATGAATATCCTTTTCATATTGGATACAAATTTTATTAAATCTGATGCAGACATTTTGTAGTCAAAGCATTTCAATTGAGGTACATGTACTACACAGGCGTCAAAAGGTGTCATTATGGAGTAAAGGGGATGGCGTCCAAAGGCGTCATTATGGAGGAAAGGGTTAAGGCAAAATTTATCAAGTCAACTCTGATTTTTAAGTTTCATAATATCATCAAGTTGCTTTCTAATTTGATGATAAATATTGCTTCTTTAACCCGAAGCCATGCAAAAACTTTTACTATTTTATATGTTAAAAATATAACTTTTAAAAGAAGTTAGCAAATATAAATTTGTTATATTTCCAGCAATTTTTCAGGCTTGTCATACAGAGGTCATCAATGACCCATTGAAAGATTCCTCTCAAAAAAAAATTGGTCCAATTTAAATGGTCAAATGAAGGTGAAGCATCTAGGATTTCTTAACCAAAATTTTCATTTTTTGGGGCAATTATGCTAAGCAATAATATGCAGGGTCCCGTCCCAAGTACATTTTAAAAGAACCTTGATCACTTCAGAACATTGACTTCTCAGACATTACCAAAGGTTCAAAAACAATTTGGCCAGGATATGCACATTTTGTTCAACTCACACATATAATGTACAAGAACTGAATATCATACATATTTGTATGCACACAATTACAATTTATCACAAACCTTTTGTACAAATAGTTTTTTACTAGCTTGAATCAGATTCATTACATTTGAAAAGCCTGGTCAAAATACAAATGAAATAAAACAAACTAAATCTTTTTTTTAGATTAATAATATTATCATGTACCAGGACATGGCTTATCTTTAATTATTTTTACAAGTATCCTCAACTACATGTATCATAATGATCATGATATGATGTGAGAAACATTGCTTCAAAATGATTGCTTTTTACAGAAAAACAATGAAAATAAATAGAGAATGTGTCCATGGGATACAGATGATGCCCCCGCTTGCATATAACGTTATAAAAGGGGCATAACTCAAGTCTGGTAAAAGTGACGCCACCCAAATTAGAACTTGATCTGAGTTTTAAGGTAATAAGCATTAAGTATAAGTTTCATAACATTTGGTTGATGCAAACTAAAGTTGGAAAATGAAAAACCAATTTTGGGATTGACAAGGGTAAACCCACAAAAACTGCAAAAACAGTATGTCTCAGAGACCTTATATCAATGATATAAACGGTACATGAATTTACATCCTTTGGTATAAACATTTACAAACTTCATGCAAATCAACAGGCAATGAAGTCGAGTCCAGAACTAACTAATTGAATAAGCATTGAAATCTTGTCTATACTGTAGTAAGTCTATAGATAACAAAATTCCGGTAGTCAAACTTTCTGGTAATTTTTTATTTCCTTGAAATACATGAAATCTGTTTGGCATATATATTATCGAGAAACTTGCAAATATACAATCCTGACAGACTGTATCAGAGTAAACATTTGATAGCTTCTAGGTAGAATTTCAGTTGGATACTACACAGTAAACAAAAGATATGGGATAAACTTCAATCAGACAGCATTCATATCCCAAATGTCAGAGAAAATAATCCATTTGACAGATAAAAAATGGAGACAATGGATAATAAAGCTATTCTTCTTATTGAGGATTTGTAAGAATCCTGTTAAATAGACACACTTTATGCACTTATAAAGGTCCTTTGATGTTGGTACATTGTACAAACAAAGAATGGAAAAGATACATTGTTATAAAAACATTTTATGTTGGTTTTTTTTCCTAAAAACAATTTGGAATTATGAATTTTATGAATAAAAGTGTTCTTAACACTGTGAGCTGCTTAAGCATGTACATGTATTGATTAGGGAAATTCATAATCCTCAAATGTTAACTAGTAATAAAACAATTTCAACACTTTTTTCAATTTTTTTTGGATCATATAGTTCAAAGAGCTTTTATCATAAGAAAAAAATTAAAAGTTAAAGCTTAGAAACAAACACTTGCACAATCTTGAGAGACATATTTATATGGATAAGCATATTGATATTAGGTGGCAATGTATTTTTTCAACACTGACTTTACTATACTGACTTCATTTCTATAATTTATTGTTGCATGCTCAAATAAATTTTCATTGAGTAAATATTAGCCATAAGATCTAACAAAAAGATTTACAATGTTACATAAAAAAATAATCTTCATTTACATTTTCAATCTGATATCAAATGCTCAAATATCGTTACATTTCATTTTTAAAAGCTCATAGTTGTAAGCAATACAGTCAAAGCCGTGTTAATTTCACACATTAATTCACTTCTATTTCATCCATTAAATTATAGACCAGAAATGTAAATGATTTATTCAGAAACTGTATAATTTGCCCCGCCACCAATCCTGTTTAAAGCCTATAATTATTTGGGATATGTAGTCAAAGTCATGATGAATTTTTTATTTGTTACACAATTCGAATAGAGAACAATTGTGGTGTAACCAATCTGTGGATAACATGCTCTGACATATCAACAAAATTAAACATACAGAGCATGAAGGAAAAAGAAAAACATACATGTATTATGTTTATGGCGATTTTAATGGACGAGATATGCTAAATGTCACCCTTTTAACTACATGTTGTATATGCTGTTAGTATTTGCTTACAAGCTCTAAATACTCTGAAAACTGAAATGTTGGCATGTAAACTATGCAAAAATTTCAAAGTCAATGGAAATTGGAATACCAGTGATCAGGGTTAACTAATCACAAGGGAAATCCAATGAATGGATACCATGGTCATGATAGTATGGATTACAACTTTTGATATTGCATCTGTTAAACTGAGCAAATTACAAAGTTACATCTGTAAACTAGAGTTATATGTGAAAAAAATCATCAACAAGCTACATAAAAATATGACATTTGGTGTCACAATGCATATATTTGTTGTATGAATTCTTTAAGAATTGGTAAAAGTTATCAATGTTCTGACATCAGACATGAGAAAAACGTCAATTTTTAATGCACAAAGTCCTATAACTCTGTAACTACCATTGTTATGGAATGGTTGCATTGTCTACATAAAACCTAACAGCCTACAATTGTGGAAATATTTGGAAAAGTCGCAAAATAAAATTAAAAAACATTAAAAACTGTTATTGCACAAAGTACATGATTGATTTACTGTACATTGCTGTACCGGTAACTTTGTAATTGCTGATTTCAAATTGTAAAAATCAAAAGAAAGACATCAATGTTGCTCTTGCAATGTTATGCCAAAGCATACTTGAGCTATGGTCAAACATATGCAGTATGGTTCATTTTAAACATGTTAAATGCAGAAACCTTGATCAATATCTTTACTATTGCAAGTCAAAATTGTTAAGATTTGGAGACATTTTTCATCCTCTTTTAAAAAACTTAGAGTGAAAAACTTTAGCATAAAACTATGATCATGATGATGGACAGACAGATAATAGTACAACATAATATATTTGCATGATTATCCTTAATGAGCTGTACATAAAATTTGAGCAGATTAGGTTTTAGTTTTCAAACTAAATGCATCGTATGTACAAATGTAATACTACCTTAACAGACTGGGTTGGGGCCGACAGAGCTGTATTAAAGATCTATTGAAATATATGAAAAAATATTCAATATTGGTTGAAAGTGCCAAAGAAAATTCTAGCATATGTACATGTAGCCATATAACAGGTCCTAAACACTTTCTTGATCTGTATCGTCTATTTACATACATGAATTACTATGTTTTTATGCATTTAAGATCATTTATTGGCTTGTTGAGGCCTAAAGTCTGACTTTATGTAATGTAAAAACTCATATCAAAGCTTTCTATTTCAGTCAAGTAGAAATGCAATGAAGTGAGAGACCACTTTCGAGTTATGTCCTTCACCGGAAAAGTTTGT